CTCATGAGCACCAGGCAAAAGTGCTTGGTCAAATAAATTTAAATTCCTCCCATGATTTAATTAGTTATTGATTCCAGTTGCAGAGATTGACAGAGGAGAAAATATAGAATTTTTTTATACTGTTCTAGTTATGTTTGTTGTAGCATAAGTTTTCATTTATTGTAAATTGTGGTTTCACTGAACTGTTAGGAAATTAGTTGCCATTCATCTCCCTCATTGTTAGGATATATTTTCTTGGTTTGGACTTATGGAAAAATAGCTCTCACGTGACTAAAAACTGCTTCACCCCCAGTTACCAGTATATTGTTGTTGTGTGTATCCTGTTAGGACTGCAGAGACAGATTTTTTTTTATTTTTTTATTTGATTTGATTTGTCAATCGCTTACAAAATAATAGGTATAAGTATAAACATGAGTAAGAATACAGAAACAGGTATGATTAAATTGGGACAATAGGACAGGGACAAGAGTCACGATGGTGCACTTATGCACCCCACTTACAGACCTCTTAGGAATGGGGTGAGGTCAATAGTGGTTAGTTTGAGGTTAAAGGAGTGGGGGATTAGAGGATGTAACAACAGAGTCAGATAGTGCATTCCAGGCATTGACCACTCTGTTGCTGAAGTCGTACTTTCTACAATCAAGTTTGAAGTGGTTTACTTTGAGTTTGTATCTGTTGTGTGCTCTTGTATTGTTGTGGTTGAAGCTGAAGTAGTCATTGACTGGTAGGACATTGTAGCAGATAATTTTGTGTGCTACGTTTAAGTCTAACTGTAGGCAGTGTAGTTCAAAGTTGTCCAAGCCCACCATTTCAAGCCTGGTGATATAGGGTATTCTGTTGCGAGCAGAGGAGTGTAGTACTCTTCTTGTGAAATACTTCTGGATGCGCTCAATTGTATTAATGTCTGATATGCAGTGCGGATTCCAGACAGATGAGCTGTATTTGAGTTTTGGTCTAGTAAAGGTTTTGTATGTCCTAGTTAGCAATTCAATATTTCCCATGCTGGGAAAGAGTAGCACAAACAAACAAGCAAATAAACGGATGTTTTCATCTTGTGTATATTGTACACACTAAACACAAATCATACTCCTATTTCTGAATTAATATACTTTGATTCAGGTCTACACTGAAGACTTAATATGAATGGTGACAAGGATATGGTAAATGAAGCTCATCTCTACACATTACAGTTCTTGTATATTCCTAAAACACATATTCCCAGATCTAATTGCCAACACTTTAATTAGCACAATCATTTATGAAAAATATCAAGTACTGAGACTACCATTATGAAGTAACACAGAGCAGTTACACCAGGGGTGTCAAACTTGGGTAATCACGGTGGCATCACGTGATGTATCGGGACTTTTTTCTGCTTTGCTAAACTGGGGCAGGGGCGGGACCAGCATATGACACATTCGGCCCATGGCCCACGAGTTTGACACCCCTGAGTTACACATATGCATCGAAACCCCAATCAAAATTACCTCAGTGGACGTGATTTAGCATTTAAAAAAATCTGTTACATTATTTGGAGATCTCATTTGGGAAAGCTGTAGCTGTATGAAACATACTAAAAGCTCCTGTGTTTTTTGTGCAGGTGGATAAAGGCCGCTGTAGCTGCAAGGAAATATTGCATACTAGATGAGCTTGGAATGGAACAACTCATCGTGCCCAACTCAACATGACCAACTCACCATGGGACAATTCAAAAATTCAATTTAATTATTTAAAATATTTTTTTTTTAAATAATCTTTCTCATTCACATTTCATTTTTGTCCATTCTTTGGCATCATTTCTGTAATGATACTATTCCACCATTTCTTCAATATTAGTGTAACTCTTGTCCCGTGGTTAGTTATCCTGTGGCAAGTTGGCTGTGGCAGATTGGGCATAGTGAGTTGGTCACTGGAGTTGGCTGCGGCAAGTTGGCCTAGGTCTAATGGGCTAGCTCTGCAGCATTTGTTTTATGGAATGGGAAAAGTAACTTTTCTTTTTTTAAATGTAGATCTTATTTATTTCAATATACTAGTAAGATGTCAAGGTTCCCCAAGATTATTTCTTGTTTTTGTTTTACCAAAGCCAACCCTACTGGCATATAAATTAATGGCTCAGTCAGAGTAACTTTTGTGCTTCTGAAATGTAAATTTGAGACTAATGAATTAATGGTCTTATTTAGAGGATTTAATTTCCTCCCCAGCCAACATAGACTTTTCCATTATAAGGTGCCAAATAAATGGTGATTCATTAAGGCAGCAAGCTGACAATGGCACCTTCGTTTGTAGAACACTCAGAGACAGAAATATAAATTGGCAGAATCTCCCTCCCATAAAATGGGCCATAATTAGCATGGCTGAAAAGAGTTCACACATGCTCTCAAAGATCTCAGAACGTTTGAATTCTAATTTGGCTTCACAACCTAAATATTTAAATCTGCTTTCTTTGTTTTTGTTTTTTTCAAGGTTTCAGTCAGAATAATTTAGCAAGCCCAGAAAAAAAAAAGTATTTTTAAGTTATTTCTTTGCCAAGGCACAACACTAGTTGTAATTGATCGAAGAAATGAAGATTGCATGAAGGATATGCAATAATTTGGCTTTTGAGAAGGGCCAAGTGTTTATTCCAGATGATTGCTGTAAATGTCCTCTTTTATTTCTTTTTATAGATAGTGCTATAAATTATTTCAAGCACAAGAGTGCACTAGGCTTCAGACATCCTCCAAATGGAGATGTTCAAAACAAAGCTGAAAAAAAAATACATATATAAAGGAACTCAGTTAACAGAAATAGGACACCGATAATTATTTATTTGAGATTTCTATTTATTTGAAATATCTTTTAGCCCTTCCTTTAAATAACAAGAGATACAATGCTAATATTCTTATGGATTTATGATTTTATTACATTGTGTTTACTTATAGCTTATTTTTAATGATATTTTTGCATTTTTATTATTTTCTTTTTTAAAAGGGAATCCAGTTAACATTAGAATATGGGGAGATCAGGAATTCTAGTGCTGCATTTGGCACAAAGCCAGCCACGTGACCTTCGGTAGCCACTTTTTCCGAATGCCAAGGAGGAAGGCAGTGGCAAACTACCAAAACCTCGTCAAGAAAATTGAAGGAACAAGTTCAGGCAATCACCACTCAAGACCACAAAAAGTGAAGTGAAGTGAGGTAGGGTGGGGTGGATGGCAGAGATGGTATTCAGCTGTTTCTGATGGTTCTGACCTACCAGTAGCGGAAAATTTGAGTAGTTCAGAGAACCGGCAAATACCACCTCTGACTGGCCCCGCCCTGTCATTACCTCTCCTATATTCCCTTGTTTTTTAGCTCATCTGATTCGCACAGCAGAATGGATTGCCACACCTCAGCTGAGCTAAAAAAACAACAACTCAACTCACCAGCTCCGACACAGAGGGAGTTTTGAGCCTTGCGCATGCACGCGAAACCCACCACTGGTAGGGAGAGGAGGGGAGAGGATGGAAAGGGAGGAGAAGAGAAGAGAAGAAACAAAGCGAACCAATATCTATCTATCTATCTATCTATCTATCTATCTATTTATTTTAAAATGTTATACTGTAAATAACAATAACCTGTTGGGAAAAAAATGTCTTCAAATACCAATATAATGGAACACAGGAAAGATCGATCCCCTGCTCTATTAAGTTCCAAATAATAAATTTTTCTACCATCCCCAACAAACAATATAATTTGGTAAAGATTATTGCTTTTTCTATAAATATTGTTCAGCAGGAAAAAAAAAAAATATAGCAATCCAGCATGATTCTCATATTGTTATCTTGCAACTGCTTCTACTGAGGTCTTTTTTCATTGTGTTGTAGAAGACAAATGATGGATGGATACAACAACCCTCATGGCATATTTTTTTCCACTTCTCATTGGCATTACACAAAGTAGTTTTTTCCTACTTATTTCTGATGCAATTTCTCTGTTGCCTTAAATCAAAGGGGAAAATTGTTGTCTTATTAGGGTTAGGCACGGTGGTTTGAATGCAGTACCACTTCTGCTGACTGCCAGCAGTTCAGCAATTCGAATCTCACCGGCTCAAGGTTGACTCAGCCTTCCAACCTTCTGAGGTCAGTAAAATGAAGACCCAGATTGTTGGGGTGCAGTATGCTGATTCTGGGAACTGCTTAGAAATAGTGGTGGGATTTACATTTTTTTTACTATTGGTTTTGTGGACGTGTCTTGGTGGACGTGGCGTGGCTTGGTGGGCGTGGCTTGGTGGTGTGGCAGAGGAAGGATATTGTAAAATCTCCATTCCCATCCCATTCCAGGGGAAGGTTACTGCAAAATCCCCATTCCCTCACCACTCCTGGGGGGAGATTACTACTGAATACTACCTCTGGCTGGAAAGCACTGGAAAGCAGTATATAAGACTAAATGCTATTACTAAGTGCTAATGTTCCTTTTTAATGTTCCTGATTTCAGACGGATCGGATAGCCAATTATTTAATATAGAATAGAATAGAATAGAATAGAATAGAATAGAATAGAATAGAATAGAATAGAATAGAATACTTTATTGGCCAAGTGTGATAGGACACACAAGGAATTTGTCTTGGTGAAAATACTCTCAGTATACATAGAGGAAAGATACATTCATTAAGAATCAAGAATCATAACGTACAACACTTAATGATAGTCATAGGGTACAATCAATAATCAAATCATACTAGGAAACAGCCAATATAAATCATAAGGATACAAGCGACAAAGTTACAGTCATACAGTCACAAGTGGGAGGGGATGGGTGATAAGGAGTAATGAGAAGATTAACAGTAATAGTAGTGCTTATGTAATAGTAGATTTTTATCGTGGAATGTATACTATCCATAAGCATTTCAGGGTTTAAATATTTAATTTATATTTATCATTTTTGCCCATTAGTTTTGGAACTGCCCTGAAAACTTATATTAAATTTGAATTGTCATATCACACCTACTTCCTATTAGAAATGCAATACAAGAAGATACTCACCTTTGTAACTTCAATTACTAGTTGCTGAACAGAAGGAGATGCTATGGAATATAAAATGCCTTCGCCTCTTATTGGATCATGGAGATTCACATATGCCACAGCATTCCTCTGGAGAACTTTCCTAAGGTCCTAAAACACAAACATGATTAATAAGCCAGATCCTAATTAAGACCTGCATTCTTGTTATAGTCCTTTGAAATGTAGGAAAGGGGGAACACAAGCCATGTTTTTCCACCTACTTCAATTCCTCACATAACATTTAATTCAATTTTTATAGAATATCATTTTAGGAACTTGAAAGGAAGTCTTTCTTTAATTTCTCTCTTGTGGGGTTATAATTCTATTTCTCAAATGAACAAAATGAAAAATGAGGCCAGAAGGATTTAAGAATGACTACAGTTCTAAGCAGCGAATCAAAACATTACATCCTCTGAAATAATAGGAAGTCTCTTTTTGTTTTTGTTTTGTTTTTTGGGGAAAAAATGTTCCTGTTCCTCATCAAGCTTCAAATATAGGAATTATATTGTGCTTGATGTTTCCAACCAGGCCCCCATATTGTAGATGTGAATAGCATCGTTTCTCCAATGTTGTCATTTTAATTATCTTTTTTTTTTTTTTTGTAAATTTTATTTGAGTTTTCACAAAAAGAAACACAATTAAAACATCTTTTTTGAAAGCAGCATAATCCCGGGTTACATTTCTTTGTGCAGACACAATTTCAAGTTCATGCTCATTTTTATATTCTATTCCATATCTTATTACAATTTTACATTTTCTACATAGCTTCTCCCCTCTTTTAATTTCCTCAATTTTATTATATTTATTTCATCTCAATTCAAATCATTATATTTATATTTTTTGTCTGTCCTGTTTCAATTGTCTATTATCTTTTCTCATTAAACAAAATTTCTCCTGTAGTTACTGATTGGAGTATGACACCTTTATATCTTTCCCCTAAAGTTATAACACTCAATATAATACATAGCTTCCATTCGGATTCTGTTTGGTACATTCTTAAACTACACACAATATTCTTAAAAAAAAGAAAAAAATATAAATGTATATAATTAAAACAACATTCCATTCCAATTCAATTCTATCATTAATATTAACATTCATTAAAGTCTTAAGATTTTTCAAGTTACTTTTCAATTAAATATCATACCTCTATGGGAACAATTATTAGCTTTCCATAATCAATTCCCCCCCTCTTCACTTATATTTTATAAAACATTGACTAATTAAAGTGTTCCCATTCCTTCCTAATTCAATTTTCTCATTTATTTTATTTCATTTACTTTATTCACAAACATTTCACTAAGTTACACTAGCCATTCTATCCCTCATTCTAATCATATGTTATTTCCAATTTTCTAAAGTTATTTCTATTTCAAATATAACAACACAATCTCATGTACCTTTACAGAATCCCCCTTTCAGTTAAATGTTTATCCATTATCTCTAAATAGGTCCTGTTTCTTTATATCTTGCTCCGGACCTTTGTGACTTCTTTTCCTTTCCTTCTTCACTCTCTTCTTCTCCCACCCCTTTTTACCACTTTGTCTCTCTACCTCTACTTCCCTCTTCTGTATTCCCCTCTTCTGTTGTTTTCCAGTATTATACTTATTTTTTGAATTATTTTTCTTTTCTTTGGTTGTTTTTTTAAATCTTAAATTCTCCATCCTCTTTCCCCCCTTTCCTTTTTCTTCCCCACATAGAGTTACTTGTTCATTAAAGATGGCTTCTTCTTTGTCCCAGTCTTCTTGTTTTACAGTCTTTTCTTGTTGTTTCTCACAGTTCCAAATCTCCATTTCTAAGAATTGAAAAATGAAGCCAAAGGAACCCTTCCCTTCTTGTGCCTCTTTTTTGTACTTTTTAAGTTCCATTTTCAATTCATCGAAAAGTGATGCCATTGTAAAAAAAATTAAACAACCACCCGATTGATTTTAGTCATTCAAATATAATAGCCAAAAATCCAAAAGTCACCGCGTAATCCAAATACACACAAACTGTTTCTTTTTGCTCTTTCTTTTTTCCCCACTTTCTCTTCCTGGGGTTACTATTTAGTTGCAAAGTTTCAGTTAAAATGTATCTTTTAGAAGTCTTATTGAAATTTTACTTTAGATTCTTTTAAAGTCCAGGCAGTCTCCTCCCTCTTCCAGATCCTGCCCTTATTCTTTTTCTCTCCCTTCCTCCTTATAGAAGAAAAAGGTTTTAATGTCCAGAAATCTTTATTGTCCCTTTGGCATTTAGTTATATTTTCAGCTTAATTGCCTGTTGATGCCAAAGTGGATTTTTCCAATTTCTTATTTTTAATTGTCAATATAAGGAAGGAGAGAGAAGGGGAAAAAAGCCAAACCTTTCCCTTTTCACTTTCTTTCGCTGCTTCCGACTCTTTTTTGGGAGCGATGTTATTTCTTGTAAAATTTAAATTCCAGGGTACCTTAGTTATTGCTTTTTCAACTTAGCCCAGTCAGCCAAAACTTTCACTTCTTATCTTCCTCCTGCACGTTATTTTCCGGTTGAGTACTTCTTTGAGGTGGCCATTTCTGACCACCGCTCCTACCGCCTTCGGGAAAGGGAGTTTGACCAGCTGAGGAGGAGAGATGCAGCTCTCCTTGACCCTGCTGGCAGTCTCCCCCTTCTTCACCACCTCTACGGGATGGCTTAGCCCCGAAACCAGCCAGCTCGGGGTGCTCCAGCGGCGAGCCCAGGCAGAAACCGCGCACGATCGCAGATTCCTGTCCGTCGCCGAAGCCCTTCAAACCGGAAGTCCCATCATTTTGTTATCTTTTTAAAAGCAAAGGCATATTTCAATTATTTCCCATTGCCTACCTAGTAATGAAGTATTTGTTCCACGAAGAGATTCTTCACATTGAGCAAAAGGGATGTAACACAATTAAGTTTGATGTGATTTGAAGTGGAACTGAAGAAATTTTGCTCTCAGGAAATTGTAAGAATCCTTTTGATAACTGGTTGCAACCAGTTCCCTCTTTTCATATTTTTCACATCTTATTGTAAGCTTATTCTTCAGTTAGAAGAATAAGCCTTTGGTAATGCTTTTCTGTTGCTTACACTCAGGCCAAATAATATCTGCACACTTTTTATGTAACTTCAGATTCAGAGCAGTCCAGCTTTATTGTAGCTGGCAGGTCTTTAAAATCCTGCCATTAGAAATTGCAAGCTAAGCAGAAAGTACATCTTTCATGATTACAGGGGATGATATTCATTTATAAAGTATCTACTTAGAAAAAGCAATCCCCACCAATAGGGCAAAAGGGGAAGAAAAGTGTTTGGTTTATAGTTGTAAATTTTCTTCAAATCCCTATGAAAATATGCACCTACTGTGTTTCCTTTGTCATTGTGAGATCAGGCCTTGATTTCTATATCCGTGCCTAGAGACTGGACCCATTAGATCAGGAGTATCAAACTCAAGGCCCGTGGGCTGGATCTTTACTCTAAGCAGGTCTAGTTTATGGTTCCTCTCTGAGTTTGGCATCCTTCCCAGTGTGTGTTATCTGTGGATGTCCTCCAGCCCTTATCTTGCCTGGTTTGTGTTGCTTTTTTCCTTCTTCTTGTAACTGTTTATGTGGGAGTTTTTTGTCTTCCGTCAAGAATATTCGGAGCTTGGAAGCAAAGTGAAGGAATAAAAGGGGCTTCACCTGTTTTCTGTGATTGTGTTTGTTTTGTATCCCACCCTGGGTCACCACAATAGTCCTCTCTCAGATTTCCCCCTGCCCAGTTAATCTGAGAAATAGAAAAGCACATTAATTTTTGGTGGCAAAGTTTTTATTAAGTAAACATGCAAAGACTCATGTCTTTGCAGCAATTTTATACATAAAGTTTTCCTCTGTCCAGTCATGACTGACTCTATAGGACAGTGCCCATCTCCGTTTCTTAGCCAAGGGAGCCAGCAATCTCTGAAGACTTTTCCATGGTCATGTGACCAGCATAACTATATACTGAGGTGCACAGAATACTGTTATCTTCCCACCGAAGTGGTACCTATTTATCTACTCGCATTTTTGTGCTTTTGAACTAAGTTAGGGTAAGTAACGAGAGCTTATCTTGTTGCATGGCATTCAGGTCTCAAACCCAGACTATCATATTTCCAACTGACAAGTTCAGCATCTTTCACCGGTGAACCATTATGCCCCCGTTATACTTTAAAACCCTTATTTACTCATTATTTACTTGCATCAGCAGCTCAGAATCCTTTAGAGGAGTTTCTGGTTTTGCATACGATTTGGCTAATATTAGTTTATGCCATGGAGAAAAGTTTCATCTAAAGTTCTCCTGTTTTGTGGAATTAGCCGTCCTCTGAGATACACTTAGACCTACAATGCTAATGTCCTTCGGGTATCTTTTAAACATCCATCTTTTTATTTCTCTCTTGAACCACTTTGTCTTGCTTTTTTCTAATGGAATGCTTTTAATTCTTTTTTATTATTATTTTTAAACTCTTTTTTTGCCTGCTTTTATCTTCCGTTTATCTTTATTATTTTGATAAAGAGCTTTGGGGTTTTTTTTAATGAGAAAAAGAATATTCTTTTGAATTTAAAAACTAGTGCATGGAATAAAAACAGTGTGGCTAAAATACTAGGTTAGTCCGTGGATAGATAAAATATATAGATGATTGATTGATTGATTGATTGATTTCTGCAGAACTTCTGAATATTGTGGTTTTTTTATCAGAGTGTATTATGAATGTTGCATCATAACAAGAAGAGAGGCTTTTTCAGTGTGTAAACTCTGTACCAAGGCCAACTCAGAATGTACACAAATCTATTTACAGATACTGAGAATTTACCTAAATCAGTTAAGGTATTTTTATGTTCTTAAACTAAATCACCACACTGTTGTTTTAAAGAGTCCAAATGTAATACTGTTTAATGTATGGTATATATTCTGTTACATACATATCAAAATTTGTAGCTTTAAGGCTAAGAATGACTGCTATCCTTGGTTCATTATTTAATTAAGGTGGCTGAGAGTTATAAATTGGAAATTATGATCTGAAAAGCATAAAATCCACAAATTGTAGAATTTTCTCTCTCCTGAGGTGAGGTTGGCCACATCAGTTTTGAACTTCTGATGATTTCCTTAAGATTAGTGATGCTAACAAAGCTAGGAACCCAAGGAGATGAGAGAAATTGTATGGTGACTCCATAAGTTATTAAAATATTAATATTTATTATTAATTAGCATATTTTATTTCCTTGTTTGTACTTTTTATAATTTTAAATATTTTTAATTAATAATAAGAAATGATTTTATGGATTTATTTATTGTTTTAATTATGTTGTACATCTTGCAGAGTCACTTTTGGTGTTATGGGTGGCTATACTAATTCAATAAACCAATGAATGTCAATTGAAACTGAATTGCTTGGCTTCTTTAAAATAGAGATGAAACATATACTTTTATTCTGGTTATAGTATTAATTAGTTTACTTTATTGTCATTGCACCTTGTACAATGAAATCAAACACCATTTTTAGTGCACATCATGACCATGAAAATAAATACAAACACACATCCTTTGCACTCCACACATTGAATTGAAAACCCCGACACCACACCAATACTGCCCTATACAGTAGAATTCAACAGAGCTACCACCCTGGGATAGAAGCTGTTTTTCAGCCTATTTGTCCTAGATTTTATTATTCTGTACCGTCTGCCAGATGGTAATAGTTGAAAAAAAAGGGTGCCCAGGATGAGATGGATCTTTGAGAATGTGTTGAACTTTCTTAAGGCAGCAGGAGCTATAAAGCTCTTCCAAAGAGGGGAGAGGGCAACCAATGATCTTCTGGGCAATGAGGTTAACCCTTTGGAGTGCTTTCCTATCTGCCACTGTGCAATTGGCAAACCATACAGAGGTGCAGTAAGTTAGGATACTCTCTATGGTGCAGCAGTAGAAGGTCATCAGCAGTTTTTCATTCAGTTGTTGTTTTCTGAGAAGTCTCAGGTGGTATAATCCCTGCTGGGTCCTTTTGACCAGGGCTGCAATGTGAGCACCCCAGGTCAGGTCCTCTTTTATGGTAATATCTAGAAACTTAAAACTGGCCACTTGCTCCACTTGGTCTCCATTGATAAGCAAGGGCTGGATGTCTGATCTGTTCCTTCTATAGTCCACTATAAGCTCCTTGGTCTCATTGGTGTTGAGGACCAAGTTATTGTCTCCACACCATGAAAGCAACCGGTCCACCTCATCTTGGTAGGCAGACTCATTCCCCCCAGAGATGAGTCCCACCACTGTTGTATCATCTGCAAATTTAGTATTACTAGCATGAGTGGGAATACAGTCATGCACATACAGAGTATAGAGTAAGGGACTCAACATGCAACCCTGTGGTGTACCAGTGTTAAGAATAAGGGCTGAAGAGGTATGATTACCTAATCTGACCCTCTGTGAGTGGCCAGATAGAAAATTCATAATCCAAAGGCAGGTTGAATAAGAAAGTCCAAAGTCCAGAAGTTTAGGCACTAGTCTATGTGGAAGAATTGTGTTAAATGCAGAACTAAATTCTACAAAAAGCATCCTATTCAAATCCAACAGGCTGGTATATATCTGACTTGAATTGTAATATTCTCCACCTCCTTTTTCTCTCCTGGAAGTTTTATTGCTTGATCTGACCAAAAGGCATGTACCAATTAGCCACCTACCTGGATTATCTTTATGCCTTATTTATCCAGTTCCCTCTAGTCACTGATTGACTGACAGACGGTGTTATTAACCATTCTTGTACTCTCAGTGGATTCTACAATGCATCTAGAAAATTGTTTCCTTTTGCTAAATTCAACATTCAGTTGACACAACTTATCATCTATTTGCTGTTAAATAACATTTTAATTGGCTACAAATTAGAGGAGGAGGAGGCTCTAAAATACTGATTAATTGCCTGAATTCATGTAAAATAATAGCTCTAAATGATCAGTTTTCATCTACATGTGTTTTAATATCTTTACTCTTTCTTTGTTCTGTACCTTCTGAGCTTCTATTATTTTTTTCTCTAGTTTACTTTGCATTAATTTTTACTATGTTTATTAAAAATGTCAATTGCATTATTAAGTAAAAAAAAAAGAACAAAATCTTTCCATAAGAGCTTTGATTGTCTGGTTGTTTGAAGAGCATCAGCGCCTTTTGCAAAAATGAGGAAATCAACATTTTGTGGGATTTCAAAATTCAAGCTAATAAACACCTAAAACACAACACACTAGAGAAGGGAAAGTTCACTGATATGAAGAGACTGTGGAATTGATGAAAAAAAACCATGCTTTGCAAATTGAGGTCAAAAGATTATGGAAGAAAAAAAAATGATTGTCATGAAGATGAAAAATGAAACTCTTGGTGCCATACCAAAAAGCACTTAGACTTATATACTGTTTCATAGTATTTTACAGACCTTCTAAGCAGTTTACAGAGTCAGCATATTGCACCCAACAATCTGGGTCCTCATTTTACTGACCTCGGAAGGATAGAAGGCTGAATCAACCTTGAGCCAGGATGAAGATTGAACTCCTGGCAGTGAGCTGAATTACTCTGCAATACTGCATTCTAACCAGTATGCCACCACGGCTCAAACAAATATTTAGAAAGTTTACATTTACTGTACTTTACACCATTAATATTTCAAAAGGTGACCCTACTTATAACAGCTTACATTTTTCAGTGACAACAACATGACTTTTTATTCTTGCCTAGGAGAAAAATCATTGGTATCATCACTCAATTAATTCGATACTGATTTAGATGATAATCATAATGGCAATTGATAAAAGCTGGACAACTGGGGAATTTTCAGATATCATGGCCCTCTCTTTTTCTTCACAGATACCACTAATTCATCTTTCTGGGTACAATCACCAAACACATAAACAAGTTGTCTGGCAGCTTAGACTTAGTTTTCACTCATCTGAATCTTTAGAAAATGTCTCTGAGAAGGAAGAAAAGGACATACTCAGAGAATAAAATTTAGCAACAGGAGACCAGGAAGTTCCATAGGGCAAGGGATATGTGAGCCTTGGAAGCCACTTTTTACTTGGAAGCTTCGAGGCTGCCAAATTCAGTGTCTGGGAATTTGGGAGCGGGGATTTCATAGTGGGGTAGAAGACTAGACACAACAACATTATTTCTCAAAGAGTCAAGGACATGTTGCCCTTCACTTGGAGAGGAGTGTCTGGAGGAATGTCTCCAGTTGGGATGAAGATTTGATTAGGCCATGTGATGGACTGATGGGTGCAGGGGATGGATCTTTGATTTCTCTTCTGGGAAGGGAAAATCCGGAACTCTCAGATTTGAGTTTTCCCAGATGTGCTGTGATGACCCAGGGTGGGATACAAAATAAACACAGTCACAAAAACAGGTCAAGTCCCTTTTATTCCTTCACTTTGCTTCAAAGCTCCAAATATCCTTGACTGGAGACAAAAAAAACTCCCCCACAAGCAGTTACAAAAAGGAGGAAATGTCGTTTAAACTAAAAATGCCTATAAATTATAAAACAACACAAACCACACTGAAGCAATTAAGGGAACCAGGCAAGATAAGGGCTTGAAGACGTCCACAGATATCAGAACACACATTGGGAAGGACGCCAAACTCAGAGAAGAATGACAGACTATTTCCATGCTTTGTTTCCAGCACTGGCCCATACGCATGTCCATCCTTTTAACCAGTTCTCACAGCTGCAGCCCATGAAGAGGATCAAGGCCCTTTCCTCCCCCATAGACCATGCCATTCACATCTCTCCCTTATCCTCTTCATACCCTAGGATGGAGAGGGGATGGGCCTGGGTCTTCCTCTGACTGCCCAGCCTCCTCCACAACCTCCGGAGCCACACTTCCACTCCCTGTCAGCTGTTCCTCCTCTCCCTCAGAGTCAGTCTCCAACAAGGGCATGACATGTGCCAATATGACAACTCTAATAAATGGAACTTTGATGAACTGTTTGTCTTGGAGTTTATTGGTTTGGAGTGATTAGTTGGAATGCTGACAGGATTATTATTAATTATCAATTAATAATTCTTATCCTTGATATTGGCAACTCTAGATCCCCTGTAAACATTCTTACCTCTGCCCATTCATAGGAACCAATCTTGCCAAACATGGTTCCACCCCATGAGCAGAAAATGATGGTCCTCTCAGGCCTCCAACCTTTCTTCACCTTCCTCATCAAGGCTTGGATAAGTGCAGTAATTACTGCTGTGCCATGAGCCCATTGTTCACTACTATAGCCAGGCAAACTGCTGTGGTGGCTGCCAACTATGACGTATCTATCTGAAAAACATACAGCAAGCAAATCCTTTTACTGATTAATCAATACAACCAACAGTCCTTCCAAATACTGATCATATTGGTTACTTTTCCCGTTCTTGCCAGCTGTGTCACAGCTATCGTTTGCCACAATAATCAGCTAGGTTCAAGAATCACTTGTATTTTAAAGACCTGAACATTATTTGCTTGCAATCCCAAGCTAACAACATCATTTATAATGCAGAATATTTTATAGTGAATCATCCAATGAACCTATCTGAAAAGACATAAGACTAAGTAGTTATAGCAACCAACTAAAATGGATCTAAACTATCTTAAGGGGTTAGATGTGTCTTGCTTGGTTTTTAGTAATTACTATATTTTTGGAAGTAACTCAAATAGCTCACTGTATTTAAAGTGAGTTGAAATAATTGTCAATCATAGTCTCTTGCTTTCTGTTTGCTAAAGGTCTGTAGTAAAAGGTATCTTCTTTCAGGCAAATGTTACTCCTACCAGAAGTCTTACTCAGATATGAAATAGCTAAACTAAATCACAGTAAACTAAAGTACACCATGTGGAATGTGCTAAGAAGATATATATTGTCTACATCGATGTTTTTCAACCTTAGTATGTTTAATGTGTGGATTTCAACTCCCATAATTATTTTTCAGATAGGCTCAGTCTGGGTAACTATATAGGACAAAGTCTAAAAAATAATAGGCTGTTATGTGTAGTTTGAAGGTTAAGTGTAATCCACAGTCCATAATAAGTTGTGAAATTCTGTTCTTGTTCAGAAATATGTCAAGTGACTTGCAAAAGTTAGCTAGCACATGAAGAAATCAAAATAAACCTACCAGGAACTGTAGCTCCTTTTAAATACCCAACAACATTGGATATTGTTTTATATGTTGGCTGAGTTTGAATATTCAAAGTCACAATTTTCCTTTCTGCTAAGAGAAAAAGAAAACATTTTATTTTGGATTCATCTGCAAAGTTTTTAAGAAACCATATACAACTTTGTTTACCTAAAGTTACCACCTAAATTTCCAAAACTGACAAGGATTTTGTCCATTTTTTACCATTTTATTTTATTTAATCACCTGGAGTTATAATAAAATACATCTTTATTAACAAACATCTAAGGAAAAATAGAATGGGAAAGTATTTTTTCATTTAATGATTTTCTGATGTAATTCAGTGATGTATTTATTTGATTTATTTATTTTAGAAAATTTATATAGCTGACTACTCGCTCACAGCGACTCTGTGACAATTACTTGAAAGTTATCAAAACTATATAATGTTCTGAAAATGGAAATAGTATGAAACAACATGAAACAGATAAAATGCACATATTACAGTAAAACCTTGTTAACAGAAGGAATATATATCATTTTGTAAGTAACTTTTCCCCCCATTAAGTAGACCTGTAAGTGTAAACAGTTTTAATTTACTGAATGGAGCAGTTCTATCAATTCTATCATTCTGGCATAAATTATTTCAGTAGCACTTTATCTGTAAAAAATATTACTAATCAAACTGAAGCAATTTCTCTTTATTACACTGTTTGAAGGGCTCAAAATATGTCCTTTTATCCAGGCCATTTAATATTTTGATCTAATGCCTGATGATTTCTTGTTTTAATGAGATTTTTATGATTATGATTGCTTTATTACATTTTTTATAAGCTTCCTAGAATTATCAGGGTTTGGGGCATTATACATATTTTAAATAAACAAACAACTTACAAATGAATAAACATCAATAGCAGAGACCTAACCAAACATCATTTCACTGAAGATAATATTGATTAATTTCTTGTGCTGGCATATCTAAATAAGAATTCAATATGTACTTATAAGAAATACACTATCCGTAAGACTCAAAATTTAAATTTCAACCTATTTCTAGCCATTTGTACTTTGAACATCAATGGATGCTCTTTAAGTTTACAAATAGGGTTGGATAATCTAAATAGTGGTTGCATTTTGAAGGTGTGTTTTTTTTCAATTAATTTATCCTGCAAGAACCATGAGGTGATTTTATCATAATGGCTAGGACTAAACTATTGTCCATTTTTAGAATTGAGTGGAGCTTAAAATGGGTCAACTGAATTCACCATTAATGCCCTGATTTTGTATTAAGTTGACCAAAACATGCAAAAGAAGTACAACGTTAAAACATTGTAGTTTTACTCCTAAATCCTTGTAGCAAATCTTGAGGTGTTCCAGCAGACAAACATGGATCTGGCAAGCTAAAATAGTTAGTGTATGTGTGTGAGTGTGAGTGTGTGTAAGTCTTATGTGTAAACACACACACACAGACACACATATGCAATCATTTAATATGTTTTATTATAAACCAGCCAGCTATAGGGAATCCAGCTATTCAGCCATTGGGCAATTTTAAACTTTTAATACACTTTTAAAAATATGTTGCCAAAGGTGTTCCAGAAACCCATTATCATGAAATATAGACCAATCAAGTGCCGTATGATGGGGTGAACTCCCGTCATTTGTTCCAGCTCCTGCTCACCTAGCAGTTTGAAAGCGTTGCAAATGTGAGTAGTTAAATAGGTACCATTTCAGTGGGAAAGTAAGAAGAGTTCTGCGCACTCAGCATATATTCACTCTGGCCACATGAACACAGGAATGTATTCAGGCAATTCTGGCTCCCTTGACTAAGAAATGAAGATAAAGCAGTGCTCCCTAGAGTCTGACGAGACAGGGAAAACCTTTATCTTTATATTCTTTAGCAAAAAAGCCAGGCTAAAATCTTTTCCCTGTCCATATTTTCTTGATCTGCTGGGGTGGCTTTGATTCTTGAACATTACCTTTCCTAACAGAAGCATCACTGCTTAAACTTAAACCAGTGTTTCTAGTAATATTTTGACTTTAGAATCACTAGAATTCATTACTAGATAAAAGGGATCTGGAATAAGAATTTTGAGTTGATGTTAGAAGTAGCTGCATTGTACATCAGTTATCCTCTGGTTCATTTCTGCTTTCCTCTTCCAAATGGAGGTCAGCATTCCGGGGCTACTCATCACCCACATTTTAACTCATTTCAAATGTCTTTCTTCCCATTAATACATTCTTCCCAGGGCTCTTTTTCAACCTCTAAAACTTTGATATCATTTCATCTCCCTAATCAATGTCACTTATAGCCTGAACATCAGAAATAATGGTAATCACATCATTAAGCCAAAAGGATACTCTGGGAGAACATGATGTCACCTTTACTCTCAGGGACTATTATCCTGTTCATTGTTCCTTCCTCCCAAGTTGTTTTATTTCTTGGTATCATCCAACAAACATGCAGGAGTGGTTAATTGGGGAATGCATTATAAAAAAAAAGGTCATCTGCCTCTGTCTTTGTCAAAAAAAGTCAAGTTCGTGTTTCTAGCATCTGATAATGATTTGTTTTAAATACTAATTAAACCTTCCTTCCTTCCTTCCTTCCTTCCTTCCTCTGTCCCTTCCTCCTTCTTAGGCTAAGAAAAACAAATAGCCTTATTAGAATTTGAAACGGGAGCAACAAATAAAGAGTTTTTCCTTCTTTCTTCAGCAAAATATTACCAATAATACAATTTGATGCAAATCATGAGATCAAGTTATGGGATATAATGAAATATGGGGGATTTTATAAAAACAGTGTTGGTAGAAGGCAAAGGGAATAAACTTGCTCAAGAATATATGTTGTTTTGGAGGGGATAAGGGAACAATTGGAAATATACTGTATATCTTTTAGTTGTTACAGAAGAAGAAATATAAGGGATAAAATGGTCTTGGGGGGGGAAATGCACTGTAATTTTTTTTTTTGCCTCTTTCCCCCTTTTTTTGTATTTAGATTTATATGTATTATGTTTGTATTATTTGTATTCAAAATATAAAAATAAAAAAAATCATGGGATCATCAGAAGAATGTCAATAACCTTAGCAGATATTTTACGTATTTAAGGCAAGGCAAGTTCAAGATTATGCATCCCTAGATATGGCTTTATAGAAGAGAAGCCTTTGGCTTTTATGTTTTTGATGGTAGCCTTGCTTTTTTAACCTATATTGGATGTTTTTCTACATTTCTACATCACTGACTTCTGGTGGCAGGAAAATCAGTGATGTCATAAGAGGGCTGTGAAAAAATACAGAATATATTTCAATGCAGTACAATAAAATACGGAATCATCATGTTAACAGTGTGCCTTCAGTAATGACCAGTCATAATCCATCCTTAAATGGACAATGATGGAAGAAACTGCTCCTCACCGGCAACCAGATCACACAAAGACGTATTGTACAGTGACATGACTTCATTTAAAAGCTTAGTATGCCTAACAAAGACTCAAATAGCTCTCAGTGGAGTATGGAGAAAAAATAAAGTTTAATTTTCTTTAAATTGTTCTGACAGTCAATCTCATGTTCCAAACATTAGACATCTGACGAAAGTCTTCATAACTTTACCTCTTTATGTTCGAGGAACTGATAGGGAAATTTCAAGTTAATGAAACATAATGTAGACAGCCAGCTAAATATGAGCCAGCAGTGTGTAGCAGCAGCCAAAAAAGCTAATGCAATCCTAAGTTGTATTAACAGAGGGATACAATCAAGATCAAGGGAAGTACTAATACCACTCTATAAAGCCTTAGTAAGACCACACCTAGAGTACTGCATCCAGTTTTGTTCACCACATTATAAAAAAGATGTTGAGACTAGAAAAAGTACAGAGAAGAGCAACCAGGATGATTAGGGGACTGGAGGCTAAAACATACAAAGAATGTAAAGAGAAGGACCAGGGGAGACATGATAGAGGTCTTCCAATATTTGAGGGGCTGCCACAGGGAGGAAGGGGTCAAGCTATTTTCTAAAGCGCCTGTAGGCCAGACAAGGAATAATGGATGGAAACTGAACAAGGAGAGATTTAACCTGGAAATAAGGAGATTTTTTCTGACAGTGAGAACAATCAACCAATGGAACAGCTTGCCCTCGGAAGTTGTGGCAGTGCCATCACTTGAGACTTTCAAGAAGAGATTGGACTGCCATTTGTCAGAAATGGTGTAGGGTCTCCCACTTGGGTGGGGGGTTGGACTAGATGACTTACAAGGTCCCTTCCAACTCTGATTATCTGTTATCTGTTATCTGAAACTTGAAATATTATCTGTATATAAGTCACCAAGCCACTTCACCATAAAAGGATAAAAATAAATAATTTTTGAGGGTTAATAATTATAGTTTAGCTGTTTTGGGGAGCGTTTAATTCAAAACTACAACATACCATCCAACCAATACATGTAATCTGTGTTCCCTTACTACTATTGAAGTCAAGGCTGTGCATGGATATGAAGATATGTGAACAGCTTAAACTACACAAAGACAATATAAACAGTCTCAATTATTATTTACTTATTTGGTGTATGAAAAGAGAAGTAAACATATACACACAACCCACATAGAAATATAGAAAACTTCTTTTTTTATTTTTTAATATTTACAGCATATGATTAAATGATAAGGTTATTAATATATATTTACAGTATATAAATAATTATAGTATATTATTAAATGATTAAGTGATATATTAAATGAAAAGGGTGAGCTCAATACTAAACAAGAATTGAATGAACAAGGGGTTGATATGCAATGATATTCATATATGCAAATTCAATCAAGATATGAAAAAGACATTAAAACTGAAGGTATTTATAAGGAACTGACAGAATTGGATAAAAAACTAACAGGAACAGAAGATAAGCTGATTAAAAACTTTACTGTTATTTATTAGGTGTCAAATTAGAAGAAAAACAAGTAAAAGGAACAATGATAGCTTGGGCGAAAATTTTTGGGTATACTATAGAATTAGATAAATGGCAGAAGTGGGAAAGAAATTATAAATTAACAATATTGACAGCATGTAAAGAAAACCTGTATAAGATGTTTTATAGATGGCACTTTGC